AAAAAAAAAAAAAAAAAATTGCACTATTACTATGTTACACCAAACACTTGTCAGAGCTCTGTAGGAAAAAATGGCATTTTTAAGTTAAAAAAATACTGAACCATGGGATTATGCAAATTATTCAGTAATTCTTTAAAAAGCATAAACAGTCCACATATTGTAAAGTCAAGTTTTCACCTCTTATCTTTAACCCTCTCAGAGGAGAAAAAAGGCCTAAAATCTCTAATCCATGAATGATGAAGATGAATTTTCAGTAAATTCTCAAGACACCATACAGACAGTGTGTACTGAGTGATCTACCATCAAAGTCACAGTCTGAACTCTCCAACTGTGAATGATGCCGGCATGTCATATACTCCTTGTTAAACTCTGATGAAGATATAATACTATATCACCATGTTATGCCATAAACCACCCTCTAAATTTCTTATCTTGGTTGGGGGGTTCACTTAAAACCTGTTAGGGTGAATCAAGGAAACCTAGTGTGCATAAAATCTGCCTGTCATGGGACATGTTTAGACCCAAACCTGTGAATGTGCAAGTCTGAGCACACCTTATTACCTGAAGGAAAGCTCTTTATTCCAATCAAAGCAGATGATAAAACTATCTAATGGCTACAAGAGACAGCAGGACAGAGACAGACAGGACGCCGTAAGATGGAAATAAATGATCTTACAGGTAACAGAGAACAACTGCTCCTAAATTATTATAATTTACAACAGAACTGCATGTATATAAAAAGCTTCCTGGTTCATCCCTGAGCCTGTGAACACAATTGCACCAGTCATACCACAAAAATGGCCCATATTTGATAGTGTCAGGAAATAAATAAAAACATAAATAAACATTTTATATATAAATATTTTTTAAGTACAATCAAAGAGCTATAGGGCTCATTCCGAATAAAAACAAAAAAGATAAAATGAGGAAAGTTTCTGAAGCACAATTCAGGATCTTGACCCCTGGTTCCACTCACCTACTCCTGAGAGAGCACAGTTCCAGGTCAGAGACGTCAGCCAGGCCGTAGTGGGAGGCATTCAGTTCCCAGAGTTCCTCCAAACCTCCCAGCATGCCCCTCTCTGACCCCAGCAGCTGCTGGAGGAGGAACTTCACACCTGAACTGGAGTCTGGAAGCTGGGGAGACAAGAACAAAATATAAAATGAAGAATAATGAACAAAATAAAAATATTAGAGAGGGGAAGTCTTAACTTGAGAATGTACCACCAGCTATTTGGGAAATTCTGATGCCTGTATTCGGGTATGAAAGCTTAGAGAAAAAATAAAATAACTCAAAGACAATACTTTACAAAATATAACATATTTCATAAATGCCCTCAATTGTTCTCCCAAAATAACTCCTTCAAATCAGAACATATACTATCCCTCCTCCCTACCATGTTAATCTCCTGTTCAGTCTTGAGGACATCCCTGACCACAGCCAGGACTATCCCAGTGTCCAGCTGGTCTAGGCAGTGTCCAGTATATACCAGAGAGGTCATCTCCTGCATGCCACTGAGATCAGAGCACGTGCTCAGTAAGATCCTCCACGCCTCCACTGCCGCAGTGAGGTCAGCCTGGGAGAGACTGTAGCAGCTGCTGAACGCACTCCGGTGGTACCCGCGCCGCTGGAGCAAGATGGCGTGTAACAGGACCAAGGCGGGAAGGTATCTTTGCTGGGACTCCACCTGGGTTATAATATACAGATAGATATACTGAACAGTAATATACAGAAAGAAACATTGGACAGGGTGTGTAATAACTACCAGATACACCACTGAAGCAGTGATTGTGAACACTTAAAAGATACCAGAAATATAACATAATATAATTTATGAATAATACGATATTACTGCAATCCAATTACATAACAACAAATAAACTTGCTGTTCTTAGATAAAATTCCTCCAAAATTTCTGAGTATCAACAACCAATGTCAGCATTACTAATTAATGCAGAATAATGAAATGTTATAAAATCCAATGTGTTATAACATACCTCTGCCGTCTCCCCGTCCCACTTCCTGAGGAGTGTATTGACATGGTGGCGTGTCTGTCCCACGGTACTCTTGAAGTTGTTGGTTCTCTCACAGGACACTTTCAGCCCATTCTGGATTAATAGTCCTGGGGAAAGTTAGGAAAAATTGACAAAATTTTTAATTTATAATAAAAAAAATATGAATTCAGGAAATTTATACTACATTGCAGTTACAATTACAAATACTGCTTCACAACTGATCCATCACTCTATGAGTATTTTTATATCAATCTGTGCAATCATTTAGGCTTTCATACTCTTTTATTGAATGCAACACGAACAACGAGTATTAGACCCTATATCACCAATATAGAAAATTTTACCACAGTTGACCTCTTCTACTTAAAATAATTTGCATGCTTAATAAAATGGAATATTTCAAGGAAAAGATTGCAAAATGAACTTTTTTCCAAAAGCAAGATGTCAGAGTAAACTTTTTTTTCAGTACGAAGTTTTCCTTATAATGTAATATTTCTATTACCAGGAATAAGTCTCCCTTCTCCCACTTTGGTCACCAGCCAGAGACGGAAATCAGGGTGGACTACATTGCTGCCATCTGGTGTCTCATTGTTATTAATCATCAGCGGGGACTCAGAGTCTGACATCTCATTGAGCTGAGACTTTCTTGACAAGGGTTGGGCTGTGGCACTGAGGATGCTCTGTTAATAGAATATTGCATAAAATTGTTCAGAACAGCCAACAATAAGCTTTATTTTTAATTATGAAAATCCCCCTTGGATGCTGGACAATTGGTCTGTACCAATCACAAGGGTGACCTTTACTGAATAAAGCTACCTTTACTTAAAAAGTACAGAAGCCATCTGCCTGAAAGGACTTAATAAAGAGTAAATGCCCAAGGACCAATGTCATATCCATGACTTTAGGGCAAAGCTGGTTTCAAAATAAGATTTTGATATAGACTAAATATACAAATGTTCCAACTTGAAGTAGTTAAAAGAAGTTGTTTTTGCTTATACCAAACTTAGACACGAGCTAGAAATTGTTAAAAAGGCCAATTTAACTGACCACTTTAAGCACCCTGGCTACTTAAAACCAAATACAGCTACCTTAATGATGTCCAAGAGTTCTGTTGACCAGGACTCGGCCAGATGGCAGTTCTGGAGGACCAGCCAGTAGCCAGCGTGTAGGCATTCCTCCAGTGCATGCTTGATCTCTCTCATTTGTGTGGGGACGCCACACGAGAGCACGAGCACCTTCCCCTCCATGTTCATGTCCTTGGCCAGCTGGTGGATGTGGAATACTGGGTCTACAGAGTAGCCTGGGATAACACAAAGGTTCTTAGTTGCTTTACAACTATTTGTTCTTTGGTAAGTAGACACAAGGGATATTATGTATAAAATATAAATGACAATGCATTAATATATTAATTGAATTCTGTTACTTTATTACATAATACTCAAAAATGCACATTCTTTGACATACACACACACACATACACTAAAACACACACACACACAGACTTCCTATACCTGTGGTTCCAGTGGCCAGTCTCTCCTCTCTCTCACCACTAGGTAACATGAACACCACTGGCAGGTTTCTCTTGGCCACAGTATACACTGTCTTGATGTTAAAGTGGTCAGCAGGGGGGACCACACCTCCTAACTCATACAGGGTCATAGCCTGGGAGATCTCATACAGCTGGAAAAGTAATTAATTAATTAATTAAAATAAAGAAAAAAAAACTGCTATGTATATACTAATCAAAAGATATTCATAGAAGGGTTTAAAATTACCTAAATATTGAAAAAAATTAATGAAAAATAGGCATACATTATTTCTCTTTTCTTTAAAAATTGTAAACCATAAACATGCTATACTTCCAAATTACTGTAAAGAACGACACTTCCCCAATACTAAGAGATAAACAACTCCTCCCTCTTCCGAGTCAAACTGTGACTTGGGACGGGAGGGGGGGGGACACTTCCTATTAAATTGTACTTACTCTGTCAGGACAGCACACTCTCCACAGTAAACACTTCTTGAACACTGACAGGTTTCCCAGCTCTCCTCCTGGCACTGGGGTGGTCAGGGACACGGGACACTGGACAGGGGGAGAAATAATAATAATAATAATAATAATAAATAATGATAACACCAGCATTTTTATTCATATTATTTATAATATTATATTATATTGTNTTGCACTTTTACTATGTTACATCAAACACTTGTCAGAGCTCGGTAGCAAAAATGGCATTTTTAAGTTAAAAAAATACTGAACCATGGGATTATGCAAATTATTCAGTAATTCTTTAAAAAGCATAAACAGTCCACATATTGTAAAGTCAAGTTTTCACCTCTTATCTTTAACCCTCTCAGAGGAGAAAAAAGGCCTAAAATCTCTAATCCATGAATGATGAAGATGAATTTTCAGTAAATTCTCAAGACACCATACAGACAGTGTGTACTGAGTGATCTACCATCAAAGTCACAATCTGAACTCTCCAACTGTGAATGATGCCAGCATGTCATATACTCCTTGTTAAACTCTGATGAAGATATAATACTATATCACCATGTTATGCCATAAACCACCCTCTAAATTTCTTATCTTGGTTGGGGGAGTTCACTTAAAACCCGTTAGGGTAAATCAAGGAACCTAGCATGTTCAGATATGGACTTAGATTGGTTCTGGGTATAAAATGCAATAATCTACCATGATCTGGTGGTCTGAGACATAATGGAACCTTTCTTTAGACCTCTCTTTGCACACAGATATTCACTGCACCTACAACAGTTTATTTTTTTTTAATCTGCATTAAATCTGCCTGTCACAGGACATGTTTAGACCCAAACCGCTGTAGGTACAAGTCTGAACACACCTTATTACCTGAAGGAAAGCTCTTTATTCCAATCAAAGCAGAGGATAAAACTATCTAATGGCTACAAGAGACAGCAGGACAGAGACAGACAGGACGCTGTAAGATGGAAATAAATGATCTTACAGGTAACAGAGAACAACTGCTCCTAAATTATTATAATTTACAACAGAACTGCATGTATATAAAAAGCTTCCTGATTCATCCCTGAGCCTGTGAACACAATTGCACCAGTCATACCACAAAAATGGCCCATATTTGATAGTGTCAGGAAATAAATAAAAACATAAATAAACATTTTATATATAAATATTTTTTTAAGTACAATCAAAGAGCTATAGGGCTCATTCCGAATAAAAACAAAAAAGATAAAATGAGGAAAGTTTCTGAAGCACAATTCAGGATCTTGACCCCTGGTTCCACTCACCTACTCCTGAGAGAGCACAGTTCCAGGTCAGAGACGTCCGCCAGGCCGTAGTGGGAGGCATTCAGTTCCCAGAGTTCCTCCAAACCTCCCAGCATGCCCCTCTCTGACCCCAGCAGCTGCTGGAGGAGGAACTTCACCCCTGAGCTGGAGTCTGGAAGCTGGGGAGACAAGAACAAAATATAAAATGAAGAATAATGAACAAAATAAAAATATTAGAGAGGGGAAGTCTTAACTTGAGAATGTACCACCAGCTATTTGGGAAATTCTGATGCCTGTACTCGGGTATGAAAGCTTAGAGAAAAAATAAAATAAATCAAAGACAATACTTTACAAAATATAACATATTTCATAAATGCCCTTAATTGTTCTAACAAAAAAACTCCTTCAAATCAAAACATAAACTATCCCTTCTCCTTACCATGTTTATCTCCTGTTCAGTCTTGAGGACATCCCTGACCACAGCCAGGACTATCCCAGTGTCCAGCTGGTCTAGGCAGTGTCCAGTATACACCAGAGAGGTCATCTCCTGCATACCACTCAGGTCAGAGCATGTGCCCAGTAAGATCCTCCACGCCTCCACTGCCGCGGTGAGGTCAGCCTGGGAGAGACTGTAGCAGCTGCTGAATGCGCTGCGGTGGTACCCGCGCCGCTGGAGTAAGATGGAGTGCAACAGGACCAAGGCGGGAAGGTATCTTTGCTGGGACTCCACCTGGGTTATAATATACAGATAGATATAATGAACAGTAATATACAGAAAGAAATATTGGACAGGGTGTGTAATAACTACCAGATACACCACTGAAGCAGTGATTGTGAACACTTAAAAGACAGCAGAAATATAACATAATATAATTTATGAATAATACGATATTACTGCAATCCAATTACATAACAACAAATAAACTTGCTGTTCTTAGATAAAATTCCTCCAAAATTTCTGAGTATCAACAACCAATGTCAGCATTACTATAATGCAGAATAATGAAATGTTATAAAATCCAATGTGTTATAACAAACCTCTGCCGTCTCCCCGTCCCACTTCCTGAGGAGCGTGTTGACATGGTGGCGCGTCTGTCCCACGGTACTCTTGAAGTTGTTGGTTCTCTCACAGGACACTTTCAGTCCATGCTGGATTAACAGACCTGGGAAGTACAGAAAAATTGATAAAATTTTAATTCAAATTAAAAAATATGAATTCAGGAAATTTATACTACATTGCAGTTACAATTACAAATACTGCTTCACAACTGATCCATCATTCTATGAGGTTTTTTTATATCAATCTGTGCAATCATTTAGGCTTTCATACTCTGTCATTGAATGCAACATTAACAACAAGTATTAGGCTGTATATCACCAATATGGAAAATTTTACCACAGTTGACCTCTTCTGCTTCAAATAATTTGCATGCTTAATAAAATGGAATATTTCAAGGAAAAGATTGCACTTCAAAACACACACACTTCCCATACCTGTGGTGCCAGTGGCTTTTTTTCCAAAAGTAAGATGTCAGAGTAAACTTTTTTTTTTAGTACAAAGTTTTCCTTATAATGAAATATTTCTATTACCTGGAATAAGTCTCCCTTCTCCCACTTTGGTCACCAGCCAGAGACGGAAGTCAGGGTGGACTACATTGCTGCCATCTGGTGTCTCATTGTTGTTAATCATTAGTGGTGATTCAGAGTCGGACATCTCATTGAGCTGGGACTTTCTTGACAAGGGTTGGGCTGTGGCACTGAGGATACTCTGTAAATAAAATAGTTCACAGAATTGTTCAGAACAGCCAATAATAAACTTTATTTTTTATTATGAAAATCCCCCTTGGATGCTGGACAACTGGTCTCTACCCATCACAAGTGTGACCATTACTTAATAAAGCTACCTTTACTTAAAAAGTGCAGACGCCCTCTGCCTGAAAGGACTAATTACAGGGTAAGTGCCCAAGGACCAATGTCATATCCATGATTTAAGGGCAAAACTGGTTTCAAAATATGATTTTGATAGAGACTATGCACACAAATGTACCAACTTAAAGTAGTTTTAAGTGGTAGTTTTTGCTTTGTACCAAACTTAGACATGAGCTAGAAATTGTTAAAAAGGCCAATTTAACTGACCACTTTAAGCACCCTGGCTACTTAAAACCAAATACGGCTACCTTAATGATGTCCAAGAGTTCTGTTGACCAGGACTCGGCCAGGTGGCAGTTCTGGAGGACCAGCCAGTAGCCGGCGTGTAGGCATTCCTCCAGTGCATGCTTGATCTCTCTCATTTGTGTGGGGACGCCACATGAGAGCACGAGCACCTTCCCCTCCATGTTCATGTCCTTGGCCAGCTGGTGGATGTGGAATACTGGGTCTACAGAGTAGCCTGGGATAACACAAAGGTTCTTAGTTGCTTTACAACTATTTGTTCTTTGGTAAGTAGACACAAGGGATATTATGTATAAAATATAAATGACAATGCATTAATATATTAATTGAATTCTGTTACTTTATTACATAATACTCAAAAATGCACATTCTTTGACATACACACACACACATACACTAAAACACACACACACACACACACAGACTTCCTATACCTGTGGTTCCAGTGGCCAGTCTCTCCTCTCTCTCACCACTAGGTAACATGAACACCACTGGCAGGTTTCTCTTGGCCACAGTATACACTGTCTTGATGTTAAAGTGGTCAGCAGGGGGGACCACACCTCCCAACTCATACAGGGTCATAGCCTGGGAGATCTCATACAGCTGGAAAAGTAATTAATTAATTAATTAAAATAAAGAAAAAAAAAACTGCTATGTATATACTAATCAAAAGCTATTCATAGAAGGGTTTAAAATTACCTAAATATTGAAAAAAATTAATGAAAAATAGGCATACATTATTTCTCTTTTCTTTAAAAATTGTAAACCATAAACATGCTATACTTCCAAATTACTGTAAAGAACGACACTTCCCCAATACTAAGAGATAAACAACTCCTCCCTCTTCCGAGTCAAACTGTGACTTGGGACGGGAGGGGGGGGGACACTTCCTATTAAATTGTACTCACTCTGTCAGGACAGCACACTCTCCACAGTAAACACTTCTTGAACACTGACAGGTTTCCCAGCTCTCCTCCTGGCACTGGGGTGGTCAGGGACACGGGACACTGGACAGGGGGAGAAATAATAATAATAATAATAATAATAAATAATGATAACACCAGCATTTTTATTCATATTATTTATAATATTATATTATATTATATATATCAGAGCATACATATAAAATGCATAATTCAATTTTTATAAACTACAGTTGAGTTTTGGTGGCGCTTCACTTGTAATACTACTAATAGCTAGTACATTTAGTCAGATGCAGCTTTTGGTAATACTATGAGTTGCTTTTGGTTTTCTTTTTGAATTTACTGAAAATATGTCCTCTGATTAATTAATTTTGATTAAGACTTGCAGTTTTCTAGGTCAAAAAAGGCCCAAGTGTGCCCTACCTTGAAATACTCCTGCCACTGTTGGTCATGTTTAGCCAGGGAAGCCCTCAGACCTTTGTAAGCTGGGATGTTAGCCTCTAATACAGCACACTCCGTCCATGTCTGATATAAATAAATAAATAAATAATACAGCAGAAGATAACAAAAGAGCAATAATAAGATAAATAAGATATAGCTGAAGCAGTATTCAAGGAGATTTGTTTCAAGGAGATTTGCTCAAAATAAAAGAAAACAACATCCTGCCCTTCTATTTTACATTTCATACAAAATCCAGCAATTCATCATCATTATATAATAAAAAAAGGGGAACAAGCATAAATTTTCCTAGAAGAATACCTTGTCTGGCAGCCATTTTGGTTTATAGTCCAGCACAATAGTGTCGGCCACATCTGAGCCGTCTATGCCATCTATAAACAGTGCCAGCTCCTCGATAGTCAGCTGGCGTGTGGCTCGCATTCTCTCTATAGCCAGCAGGAGGGAGAACAGATTGGTATGTTGTTCAAACATCATGGTGGAGACATGTTTGTAGATGGCGCTAGTGGTGCAGTCAATCAGCTCTTGGGCTCTTGCCTTGGGTGCTCCTGGGTGTAAATACAGGTGAGTTATTATAATGTCTTAGTCATTAAGCTTTCTTTAACATTCACAGGGTTTCCACAATCAGCATTTTTACACCTTTTTCTTTTTCACAATTGAATTCATGTGCTGTATAATATTTCTGGGCATGCTATAATATAATAGGTATGATAACTTTTACATTGATTTTTCATGCAACACTAAAATCTATTACGGTAAAAAAAGACAATAGGAATTTCTATTTCTATGTTTTATAACAAAGAAAAGATAAATTGGTCAACTGCTCTGTTTTGAAAATATTCTTCAAAGACATTTCACCTTGACTCCCTTTGCCTCTATTTCTAGCATCAATCACATCACAGAAAATCTTCATGAACACCGTGAAAGTCACATGATACATGGGACACAGGACGCCCATCATTTTGATGATGTCATACAACATGGCAGCATGCGTAGCAACAGGGATGTAGTGCACTCGTTTCTCTTCAAGATTTTCCCTCAGGTACATCCCCTCTTCCAGGACTTCCTGGTTGTCATTGACATTCTTCTGACATGTCTGAAGTGTCTCTAACATGGTGTCATCCTCCAGGAGTGGCGTCTCCAGATTCAGTGTCTTCACTAGCACCGTCTCCTGAAACAGGATATAGAGAAAAGTGTAATATATGTGGTGTCTCTAACATGGTGTCATCCTCCAGGAGTGGTGTCTCCAGATTCAGTGTCTTCACTAGCACCGTCTCCTGAAACAGGATACAGAGAAAAGTGAGATACATGTAGTGTCTCTAACATGTTGTAGTCCTCTAGAAGTGGTGTTTCAAGGTTCAATCACATTCATCAGGGAATGAGGCTGACCAGTAGCTATTTTAATAATAGCTGTTGATTGAAGAAAAAATTACTATTATGTTCTTACATAACACAACTGATGAAATTCTCCTCTAAGTCCCATGCAGTTCAGCACCCACCTGTTCCACATTCAGCTCATGTTTATGATGCAGCATATCTGCCTCAATGGATCTTCTCTGTCCCTCAAACTCGGACTTCTCCACCCTCATCAGGTCAGTCAGCAGGCGGTCTACTACACCCTCCTCACTGATGGACATGTTGATGACCGATACTTTCTGTATGGGGAGATCATAGATACCATCACCTGGAACAGAGTGAGAGTGAATCCTTAGATATGTAGGAAATAATTAGAGCAGAATAACACATAAAAAAGATCTCTTGATTCTTCTTCTTATTATTTTTTGCACAGTTTTCAGTTTTAACTTCAAAAACCAATAGTTCAACAACTTTGCATCCAAACCTCAAATTTATTGAAAAAAAATTTTTTTCACACTGATTTTGGATTTCTCCAAATTGTGCCTGAAATACAAACTACGTATTGCACTGTGATTAAAATAAATACTGTAAGCAAATATAAAGACTGCAAGATAAAAAAATGGCCCATACATGTACCTTTAAAGAAGAGTGGCACAGAAGAGCTGAGATAGAGACAGAAGTCTGGGTGGTAGTAGAACATCATCTCGCCTATCTTCAGGATCTTGTTCCCGTCTTTGTCCACTGTGAACTGCTTCAGCAGCAGAGCTCTGAACAGAGGATCCAGAGTGCGCCGCTCTAGGTGGGTCACCAGGACTGTGATCCCTGGAAAGATCAGTGACATAAAACAATTAAAATTATCTCTGACAACAACTTTATACTTAACTCCTTGTTCAATTATTCCAGCAGTTCCAACCTTTCCCTGTGGTGGAATTTTTTAGGAAAAAGAACTGCAATATGTTCAATGTTGATTTGAACATTATGATTTAAAAAATGTTGCTTTGGACTACAAAATGGCAGCATCTCACAAACCCCTGCACGCTGTTTTGAAAATAGTATGCGTCACTTAATAATTATCTATTTGATTAATATATTACAATTAATCTAGACATCATTTACCATGGACCACCGCATTAATGAGCTTGGTGTCTATCTGGGGGTCATCCCCAGGGACCACCCACAGGTTGTTCTCTGGTCTGTCCACACTCTCCCCCAGCTCTATATTCAGATTCTCCTGGCTGTTGGTCACAGAGGTCAGAGGTCGGAGGTCACTGGTGGAGGTCATTCTGGAGGCCAGGCCACCAGACACACTGAAATATGGTGGGTGAAGGTCAAAGTTGAAGGTCATTCATCTTATTATCATGATTTATGAGAAAAGATGTGTAATGCCAAGGGGCCAAGTTATGTTATATTGGTTTTTCATGTTCCTCTGGGGAAAGAGATCTAAGAATGGTTTTCAGGGACAAAAATGCGCACATGAAAAAGAAATAAAAATTAGGGTCATAAACAAAAAGAAAGAACAAAATTGATATTACTTGACATAGGGAATGGTCGTCCTTGAAACTTAATGAAGGTTTTAAAAATTAAAATACTGGCTGCCAATTTTAGACCCAAGAAAACAACCATTACATATATGTCTACCACATAGATAAACAGCTGATTATCTTTGTAAATATTCATGTATATCTTTATCAAACTGAAAATAACACAAATAGTTCACATGCAGAAATAAAATCCACCAATCCACTTTTGCAAACATCACATGCAATAACCAAACCAATCAACCAATCAGCTCTTAGAATGGAACCCCATGCAAAAGTTGTTTTCAGCCAATCAACTTTTATCTCAACATGCCATGAGCAGAAAAAATAAACTGCAAAGAAATACTTTGGCTTTTATTTAACTGAACATTTCACCGTTCAAAAGAATATCTTTATACAGTGTTACAGTCAGGGTACAAGTGATAGAAATATTTTTTAAAAAATTACTTATGACTTTTTTTTTGGGGGGGGGGGGTTTAACAAAATTTTAGACATGCAACTAATATGAATGCAATTTTCATAAAATCAAGTTGATTTGAAGCTCTTGAATTAACCATAAAGCCAGGAAGTTTTTCTGAAATAGTAAAGAACCAAGAAGAATCCACCCACAGCATTCTAAACTCAAGTCAAGATTTCAAGCAGCGTTTTCCATGGCTATATCTCTCAGCTTGGTAACAGGGATTACCTCGACTTTGCTGACAAAAAGCGAACATTAAACGACACCCTAAATGAAAGAGTTAGTAAGTATTTAAATAAGTAACTGATTGTAACAAATTGTAGTTAATAGATGCACAGAATACACATCAGTGAAAAAAAAAACTTTAACTGATCATTCCTGATTCATAATTATGTTACTAAAACATACTAAAAATTCCTTATGTCACAATTATGGTTTTTTCCTTCCATATATATCACATGCTTACAAAAACCACACACATAAAATAAATAAATAATTAAACAAATAAACAAATAAATTATTTTATCTTTCAATATAAAAACTGTTAGTATAAAGATACATTAAGTGATGTTAAAATTTAAGAAGGAAAATAACTGCTCTCTGATTCAACACACTGAGATCTGCCAATACTCCAAATACTACACATACAACCCCTACCTGGTCTGAGCTCTGGAGCCCACATTGCTGTCTGTCTCTGTCCTGGTGTCATCATTCAGCCTGGACACCTCTGTGTCAGCGTCATCAGAAGTTGTGACCGCAGTGCCGCGGCTGGGTGGGATGGGACGATCCGAGGTTGTGTAGTCTGTTGTTGTGGACTCTGGAAAATGGGATAAGAATATTTATTTGAAATGACTTGAAATAAAGCATGGAATCATACTCAAAATTGCTTTCACAACATTTTGACTGATTGTTTTAATAACAGAAAAACTTTCAATAACATATGGAATCTATGGTTTAAAGATGCAAAAACTAAATAAATCATAAATTTAATGAAATATAAAAAGATACAAATAAATAAATAAACTTTTGATAATGCATCTCACAATAAATTCTACAAACATTGACAACTTGTATTTTCTTATTTTGGAACTGTCTTATTATTATTTTTTCATCAAATGTGTTGCTTGTGTTTAGCAATATTTAATGTTTAACTTGAGGAGCCTTTTAACTACTCACTATCAGATATCTCTGCATCCTCTGGGATCACCACAGCCTGCTCCTTGATACAGTTAGGGCTGTCCTGCAGCATGCCTACCCACTTCTCCGCCTGTCCATCAGGGTCAACCAGCAGTGGCCAGCAGTGCTTACGATTATGACAACACACGCGCATGATCAACGCATTGTGTATGGCGTGCATGTTGATGGGCATGTTCTTCAGTTTCCAGTCTGATAACTCCTCAAATGTGCTTAGGACATCTTCCAGCGTGAAGTTCTTACGGACAGAGACCAACCCTTTTGATTTCCCAGCATGCAACACAGGGTCAAAGTCCACCAGATAGTCAGTGTTGTTGGATAGTAGTTTTGACTCCATCACAAACACAGAGCCTGTGTCGTACACCACAGCTTCCTTGGGAGGTGAAACTTTTCCCTCAACAGACGGTGGACTGGACAAAATACTGGGCTCTTCTTCAGTGACAGTGTGCTTGACATGAAGACGATTCACCTCCTCACGATGACTTACATTTAATGACAGCTCAGAGGCACTTGGGGTCAAGGTTGTTGCTAGGAGATTATCCAACTTTGCACTCAATGTGTTCCCTTTACGTCTTTTCCCTGCTTTCAATTTGGGGTCAAAATTCCCAATGTGACATCGCCCCAGCCAATTAGTGAGCAGCTCTGTCCGCGTGGAAGTGTCAAGTGGTCCGTGGTAACAGACGCAGGCCGCAGTGAGGAGGGAGTCCCCTGGTGCTGTCTTCAGTTTATTTTTAGATTGCTTCAGTTGTTGTTGCCACAGACGGTGCTGCATGCTCATGTTGTCCATCAGAGTGGTGGCTTCATGGATCTTGTTCTCAAACATCTGGAAATGGGAATTATTTTGTTAGTTTAGGCCTACAGAGAAATGAAAATGTGTTCCCGCATACCAGTATATCATATGGAACAACATTATGGAAACTGTGATATAGGATAAAAATATTTTCCACTGATTCAAAAACAAATGGTATAAATGGTATAAATATATCAGTTTCTACCACGAACAGTTCAATATTAGAATTTGGAAATTTTGTTGCATCGCTTACATTGTCTCTTGCATGTTTCTGCCATTGCACATTCCAAACTACTTTTTTCCAAGGTACCCGTGAATGAATCATAAACAGGACATATAAAGCTTAATTATATGCCAGTTTTCTAATGGTATTATCATAAAATATCTGCCTATGGTACCTTTATTTCCCTGTCAATAGTTTTGGCCTTCTTCACAGCTTGTTTGTGTGCCTCTATCCTGGCCTCTAGTTCACTCTTAATTCTGTTGGCTTCTACTCTCTTCTCACCAAGGATGGCCTGAGCCTACATTAAAGTAGAAGAACAGTGTATTAACTTGGTCTATATCTGGCAAATCCATTTGGTATAACAATTATAATCATTTGACAATACAGATTCAAAAATACATCATGCCTACAGGAAAAAATCAGACTTACCTCATTCAGTTTTTCCTCAGCATCCATCAGCTTCCTGAGCCTGGGTTTCATTGTCCTATAGATGGAGCCATACTCAAAGACAGCATGTATCCACTGGCAGAGAGAGGCCGCGGCTGTGCTGGACTGGGCTATGTAGGATGGCTGAAACTTGGGGTCTGCCGTGCAAACTTTCAGCTTCTTGAATATGTCTTCTGGGATATCATCCTTGTTGTAGAATTCGAGGTCTTTGAAGAAGTTTTCTCCCGAGAGAAGGAGTTTTCCGCTGTCCCAGCTGAATCAGAATAAAAGGTTACAAAGTTATATATATTTTTTCTTCAATATACTTCCAATAAATAAATAAAATGCTGAAAGTTTTGTGGTAAAATGATTAAAATGTTTTATAAAATATTGCTAAACAAAGAACATCTTAATTGCTTTTTAAAAATATTCTGAAAATGAAAATTCCTGCAAAGCCAAACAACTATACAGAAATTAATCATTTAAGAAACAAACAAAAATAGAAAAAAAAAAAAAAAAAAATTGAAATTAAAGACGACCATTTTGACTATATTGATTTAGTTCCATACTTACTCCTGAGGTTTGTAGAAGAGGCTACAGATGACCTTGACGACCTCTATCACAGCCTCCGGCGGGGCTCTGTAGCTCTTGATCTCGTCTATGTCGTGAATACTCAGAGACATGAGGGCATTGAGAGCAGCAAAATATGTGGGGTTCACCTACGCAAAAAAGGTATGAATTTCTAAATTCAGATAGTTCCAATGTGGATATAAAATGTATAATAATTTGTAACACATAAATGTACACACCCTGACACAATCACTCACGCATTCAAAATCTTTTCAAAAAAAAAAAAAAAGAAACAGCAAAAATGAATCAATAAAAATACATGTTAAAAAAGTTGATCTTAATCTGACTTCACAAATATGGGTCACAAAAATAACATATAAACTCCCATCAAGGAGGAAGCAATGCTGCCCACTACTCAGTCAGCACTACACTGTCCAATATGATATATTACTTTGTCAAACTCCGCCTCTGCCTGTTTCCTCATATCTTCCAGTGGACCAATCAAAGCAGCTATCTTTTCTTCCTCCAGTTTACAGCGCTCTCTGGCCTGTGGCGAGAAAAAAAAGGAGACATTTAGACACACAGAAACAAATAATATTATCCATTAAAGGTAGACTCAAACCTAAACCCCTTGCTTCCAATAATATTCCAATGAGGGGACCTTTATCTTTATCCAGATGACTATCACAAACACACACACACTCATATCAGACATACAATACGTGTTATTGTATGTCTGATATGAGTGTGTGTATTTGTGATAGTGTATGTGTGTGTAATACATGTACAAGTAAAATGAACACATCAAAAACAAGCTATTTGTTAAGTATCAGTAGATCAGATCAACTGGACATAATGTTTACCTCCACAAACTCCTGTTTCTGTTCCTCCACTTTCTTCACGTGACCTTCCACCAATTCCTGCGCTGCTCTGTGCCGAGGTCGTAACTCAGAGACTCTGTCCTTGTACTTGGCGATACAATCAAAGGCTTCGTTCATTTTCTCAAGGCCTGCTTGGTACTTGTCTATCTTACTCTGAAAGGTAAAATCACATTATAGTACACCGTCATGCTTGTTGTATGTACATTAAACATAAACTATTCAAGACAAAATTTTGATTAAATACATACAATTCTTAAGTTCAAAAATTTGATTAAAGACTTACAATTTATAAATAACTCAAGCTTGTTTGTTTTTAACTCCACAAAGATATAATAGAAATCAAACTATTTTTATTAACTTTCAGTTGTAAAGAATAAGAGAAGTGGGCTTCAACAATAGAAATCCATATGGTTATCAATCAGTTTTAAAAATCTCCTCACCTTTTCTTTCTTGGCAATGCTTGCTGACACCACCTTAAAGATGTGGACAAACTCCATAAATGTCAGTGGGGTGTAGAACTTGAGCTGTGCCTGACTGTACTGTGAGTAGAGCCTCTCTACCGCCTCCCGTGAGGAGTTGTGGATGTAAGCCATGGCGGAGGAGACGGCTTTCACCTGTTCTAATGTGTTGATTTCTGACCATGGGACTGGTATCTGAATAATAATAATAAAAAATATATATATATATATATATATATATATATATATATATATATATATATATATATATATATATTCATATATATGTTTCATCTCTTACAGGTACCCTAAAGTACTCAGGATTTACCTGCCAAAATGAATTTTCCTCAGGAAAAAAGCAATATTGTCCTACTCATGAATCATTGCTCAACCCATCCCTTCACTAGGATTCCTTGTTTTTTTCATTTCAATTTGATGATTTACTTCCAAATGACTGGCCAGTCATTTCAAAGGTTATCATACACTATGTATAACTCATCCCACAAGAATTAACTTACTCTTGAAGACTCATCTCGTAACCATGTCTCAGCAACTTTGACGTAAGCCTCATGGTTCCAGGGTTTGTACAGATCCACACTGATCACATGATGTATCAGGGAGGGACACTTCCGCAGCAGATTGTGCATGGGGCTGTGTTTGGTGTACACTGTGGAACCTGCAATGGTGGCCAATAACAAACAATATTAACTACTGCAGTAGTAGGAGTTGAGCAAATACGTATGGTACAAAATTCTCATGGAGCTTGTGGCAATGTTGAATAGGCATTTTTATTGAAATGACTATGAAATAAATAAACTAATATAAATGTGGATTAAATTGAACTTAATACTTAAAAACAATTAAATAATAAACAAATCGCTCTCTATTTCTACTTAAATTTTATGGTGCAGGTAAGAAATTATTTCTACATAATAGTAAATCTAAAGCATTAATTTTTCAACATCAATATGCACTTCAGCACAGAAAGTTATCACCTCTGTACCTGAATAATTTAGAATGATCACCACGTGCAGGTTCTGTTTGACTCTCCGTATGAACTTGTCATTGAAGGTCTGTTCCACCTTGTCCACCTTCCTGATCTGGACCTGACCAGGGGTCATCTGGGTGGCTATCTGCTGGAGTTCTTCTGTAGTGTACAGCCCTGGGCAGGTACCTTAGAAAATATGGCCAAATAGGGAATTAAAATTCTCATTCTAATTATCTCCTGTAGTTCGATGGTGACAGGTACCTTAGAAAATATGGACAGATAGAGAATTTAAATTCTCATTCAATTTATCTGCTGGAGTTCCTTTGTAGTGTACAGACCGGGGCAGGTACCTAGGAAAATATTGACAGATAGGAAATTAAAATTCTCATTCTAATTATTTGTTGAAGATCCTTGGTAGTGTATAACCCAAGCAGGTACCTAAGAAAATATTGACAGACAGGTAATTAAAATTCTTATTCAAATTGTCTGCTGGATTAATGTCTTATTATTTTCAAAACATGTACTAACCTTCTACCATATATGAGCACACATCAAGCAGACATTCCTCTCCCAGTTCCTCATGAATCATCAAGACGACAGGTTTTCCCACAATGGCAGCCGTCTGACTACAGCGTCGCATGTGCTCACGTAAAACTTCTCTGTTTCTGGCCAGGTCTCCTTGGGGCTTGGGCTCAAACAGCTGAAAGATTATATCAAACTTAGTAGAAAAATAGCTTGTCAGAACAATACTAAAACTCCACATAAATCTTAATTGTCACCTAAATATTATGTAACATAGACAGAAATTAAAGTAAGCTTTTGGTATGTCTCAATTTTAACCATTTCATAAATTTCTTTCTATATTTCACTTTTATAAAGTACATCATATGCTTTGGCATCATAATTGGTGTTAATATCTCCTTGAAAGAAATAAGAAAGAATGTATATCTGAGATAAAGAAAGATCATCGTTTTGAAATGACAAATGGCCAACTACAATGCTGGCCAATACGGTACCTTGCAGTGAGCTATGTGTGCGGCTAGTCTGGTCACTGTGGCACGTCCAGTACAGTAACTCATGCCCAGTTGTAGGGAGTGACCATTGGTCATAGCCTGCAATATTGTCACAGATGTTATTATTATATACAGTGAGTGCAATCTGTTAAAACTGATGATAAAATGAAATGCCTTGGAAAAATCCACTTACAAGTGCATACCCCTGTATATCCTCATAATGAACAAATAGAGTTAGCATGCCAAGAAATCATCAAAAAAGGATTAAAAAAATAAAATAAATGACTACCCACCAGCACTCTACTGAGCCTAGCCATATGTTGAATGGCCTCCTTGAAGAAGACCAGATCCAGTCTCTGGGACGTCCCAGCATTGTACAGTGCCAGGCAGGTCTGCAAGGCTTCATCCAAGATGTCCTCTGAGCACTCCACATAGCCTGGGGGGAGAAGATAACAACAATTACTATATCTAGAGGGTCCAACATGTTAATGTTAAAAACAGAAGGAAGAAATAATGGTTATAAATATGTTAAGACATTTTTGTCAGGATCTCTTTCAATTTCTATTAGTTATATTATTAATATATGATGCAGAGTATGTTTAAAGGCAGATAAGCTAAGCAACAAAATGCTAAGTAAAATTCATCTCTACATAAATAAATTGCTGGTCTATACTTATTGCTCTGACATATCCTCCATTTATCTGATGAAAAATTCATCTTATCATCCAGAACAAGCTATTTAAAGGCACCTTTTATTAACAGGCAACAATCAGTATTTTGTACACTGGGTAGCTTCTTTCAGCTACCAGTATATATATTACTTTTGTCCCCTTTCAGTGTCAGAAAGGGTGAACTGGTGTAATCAATAATGTTAAACTTCTAACAGGCTTTGAATAGCATGGTTCCTTGGTATATCCTAGTAAATTAGGATATATTATAAGCTACCTTTGTCAGGTGTAAGTCCCATAGCCTCAGTATAGGAAGCCATGATAAACTTGGTAAACATGATATCCGTCAGGTCCTCATTTGGCAGTTTAATCTGCTCCATGGACAACAGTGGCCCCTCATAGGCCTCCGTCTCTCTGTCAGCTATCAGCCCTGTTTTGAAGGTTACTCCTCTCTTCACTTCTTTCTTGGCACCTCCTTTCTTTAAACTTGGAGTGGGAGGAGCCTTCAGGTTTGATGCCTGGCTGGGATTGGCTGCACTGTCTGCCAGTCAAAAAGGAAAGTTACTAACAGTGAAATATAGCACCATGCAATCATTAATGACCTTAAAATAATGTTCAGAGAAATTTGTTTTCAATTAGTAAAAAATAAATCAGTTAACCATATTCAAATCTCAAACAAATTTGTAAACAAGATTAACTAGCACTAAACATTAAAACACTTTTTACTTTATAGAGAAAAATAGGTAGGTTAGCATCATGAAGTAAATGAATTAATAGAAAGAAGTAAAAACACAAATCTCAGAATAAAACTGTATCTTCTCAGAGAGAGTAACTGGAAGAATTATTAGTCAAATTAGAATCAAACACTAAAATTTTCAAAATAAATGAACACCATTTAAAGCCAAACTGAGCACTTCAGAGTCAGAAGCAAAATATTACAGTAAGGCAACAGAGAGCTATATGCACAGGAATTCTCCTAATAAATCAAATTGTTTTGTCAGTAACTGCACCCTGTTTAAAAAGATAACACTAAATTCACAGTCTATAAAAACAGAAATTATTCAAGATAATTATACATACAGTATGTATGAAACAGGACAAACAATATTTCTTGGAGAAGCATGACAAGTTTAATGCACCCAATTCAGGAATAATGCACCAACTTAAAACCTTGTCAAAAATGCACTAGGGTAACAAAATGCATTTTTCATCAAAAACACTTTTTGCCATAACAAAGAAAATTTTCAAAAAAAAATTGAAAATAAATAATCAATATTAAAAAAAAAAAGGCAGCAAAGCTGTCAAATGTACAGACAAAAAACAGAAAATAAAGATGCAAAAAAGGTCATTTTGTTAATTTTGATGCAATAATAAATAATGCTTATAATAGCACTATCAGTCAACACTGAATTTTATAATCTTGCACAACAGGTAAAATGGTCAATAACATGAGCGGACCCAGAGATATTCTCTGACAGTATTCCAAAGTATCTATTTTGATCCATCCTCCATTTTGATGGTCTTCCAACAGAAGAAAAAATAGATACCAGGCAATATAAACTTAATAACCTGACTGTCTTCCGGAAGTCCCAGAAGATGGTCTCAATCTACCCTTTCAATAAGATTACAGTTTCAGGACCATGAGAGTTCAAATTCACATGATGTAAGTCNGAGAACTCTCTGTTGCCTTAACACTGATACCTTCTAGCGAATCACTCAACAAGCCAATTGAAGAATACAATGTAGTGCGACTTTCAAGATGTCCAAGTTGTAACCCAGTGCTGCCACTGGGAGTTCTCGTGTAGTCTTCAAGATAAAACAGCACGCAATTAGTGGAAATCAATAATTCATGTACGTTGTAGATCACCAATGTCCTCATCTTCAACTTTTGGAGAATCTAGACAAGTTTTGGAATTTAGAATCTGTCCAAAACAAACTGATTTTCACAAAAATTTGAGGCAGACCACAAACAATTAGTTTTTAGGAAAAAATGGACCAGTTTTTGGAGCAGATTAAAAAACAGTTCTTCCAACTGAATGATAATGCCAATTATAGGAAAATTTAGGCAACTTTTTTGTCTTGTTGAAACTGCTAGTTTTGACAGCCATTTCAGCAAAACATTTCATCAAGTTTTTAGGTCAAGTTTATAATACAGATCAACTTTTCAGGCTTACATTTTACATCAAAAATACTATATTTGTATATCATTACTTTCAACATTAAAAAGCATCATGGAAATTTACAACCTAAAAAGTGACATTTGGATTTGAAATTATTTGGGAAATTTAGAGCATTAATTTCAATCACTGGTTATAACAATAATTATTTTTAAAAAATCCACACCACACACTCTTGGATTCAAATTCATACACCAAATCATATAAAGTATGATTTTTGCCTGCATGTTATGATTCATTTTTTTGACGAAACAATCTCCGAAACACTATATTTAATAAGTTGTTTAGTGTAGCAGGATTCCAACAAAGATTCAATGAGCACATCAATTAGTGAACTTTTTAATTCAGTGGTTAGAGTGTGTGGAAGGAGAATTCCATGTATTAGTATACAACACCAGCAAAAGCCACAACACCTGTATAAAATCAACACCATTAGTTTTTGTAATATTAAAGTCAAATTAGTATTGACTAATAAATCTACTGGTGAATATGTCATTAAAAAAGTAAAGTAATGATGTCACACAGAATCTAAATCTGCTAGAAATTTACATTTTTACTTAAGAAGTCTGCAAAACGTGTCACACCTACAAGTTATGTATACAGATGACTAAAAATCTACTCAATATAATACTAAAATCTGAATAGATCCTGTAAATTTTCTGCTTTAAAAATTTGCCCATAGTTTCCATGGCAACCCCTACCTGTCATGGCGGTGCTCTCGTCTCCCGTTGTCGTCATCTTGGACTGCATACCACTGGTTGTTGTTTCTGTAAAAGACGTTATAATCTATCACTGATAAGAATTTCTTTACAAGTAAATTTTATCTCAAAATAATTTGGATTTGTTGAAAAGAATGATGCTAGAAACTGTTCATTTTTTTTCTCTTAAAACAAAAGAGATGTTTCTCAATTTTCTGATTTATTCCTATTAACTGTCCAAAAGACATTCATCTTAAAAATTGACACCAGTATTGGATATCCACAATATTTACTGACAGGTATAAATTCCCATCTCTCTCACCTGTTTCAGAGTCCTCCTCTGAAGATGCCGTCTCTTCTGTAGAACTTTCCTCTGTGGTCTCAGTCTCGGTGGACCCTGTGGACATCCTGGACCCAGGGTCCTCACTGGGGGGTGGGGCACGGATTGGGGCGTTGAACTCAGACTGGTACTGGGACTGGATGTCATACTCTGTGCTGAATGGAGTGACAACATCTGTGGTGGCAGCCTCCGTGAATTCTCCTGGAAAATGTTGAAGAAAAATTAAAGCAACTAATCCAATAGATCAATTTTTAAAAAACCACAGCTGGAGTTAAACATATTTTCCTAATTAAAAGACAAGGCGGATCCTCATTATTCAAGCCTTTGTGAATACACCTGATGTAACAAAATTATATCAAATATCATCACAAATATCAGTGGAAACATGGAAAAACATGTCTAAAACATTACCCAGTCACTTCAAGGAAAATAACAAGCTATCTGAAAGCTTAGAGGTTAGATTCATTTGAACAAAAGGTGTGAAAGAAGTAAGTTTCTTGACTTGTCTACCACAGTCTTAGACAGCCTTCAGGACAAAAGTCAAGATCTTCAACAAAAGGCATGTAAACACTTAATGAGGACAAGACCTTTTCTCTTTCCCTACATGAAAGACTGAATGGTCATTTGATTGATCAGTGTACTGGACCTCGGACAGTGTTTTTAAGTTGGATATTAAAAGAAAATTAGCCTTGGTTAACAGTTGAAGAGAAACACCACTGTCAGTGGCTATAATGAATGTCAATTAAGGTCACCCATATGCCATATGTCAAATTATCACCAAAAGAAGGCAGTCTTCTTATTTACTAACACATTTTTCATTTATTTATTTTTTATCTACCTTTTGTGTGTGTGTGGGGGGGGGGTAGTGGTGTTTAGGAGGTCAACCTACCTTGACTCAGCGGTGTAACAAACTCCATAGTGGTGGCATAGTCAGAGAAGGGTGTGGTCACCTCTGTGGTCACCTCAGTGATGGTCACTGTGCTGGCTGTACTGGGCAGCTCATTGTCCGGAGTCAAGGAATCACTCTTATAGAAAGGCGGAGGCGTGATTCTCCTCACTGGGGATGACCGTGTGAACTGAGAGATAGAACAGAGAGAAAGAGATAAAGACGTGTGAATATCACACCAATATTCTGCACAATGAGATGAATAACAAATAATTATCACTTGAAGGTTTATGAATTGTGCAACATGTAAAGAAACCTTTCAGCTGAGAGTTATTTGATTAGATATACTGATTCATTGAATTACTTAAAAGTACTATAATAATAATAATAATAATAATAATAATAATAATTATAATAATAGTTCAGTATAAAATATGTGACCTTAGTTATTAAAATTGCCTAAATTATTTAATTATTTGCTATAAATAATGTCACGATTCCATGCTTGACTATGTGATACCCATGAATTATCAGATATGATGACTAATTTCCTCTGAATTGTATTCTACTATAATATTCATTCTACTCTTCTAACTTAACTGCCAATCTTAGCTGCCATGTTCTATGTTCATCATCAGATCTACAATCATATCAATCAGGTTATAAATATGCACCATGTAATCATTAGTTCTCAGTCAACTGGACAATTAGACAAGTAGATGAAAACTTTTCCAAATTAAGTCCAAAGAAGGAAAACATCTTAGACTATCACAAAAAATTCCATTAGTCCCACTGGACCAGGCATTTTGAAAATGATTTTTTTTGTCTAGTGGTATATCTACTAGTCAGTGGTCCAGGACCATTAACTGATCTCAGACATTTCTCTCTTATAACCCCTGTCACTGAACCTTAGCTTATACATGCAAGCTGCATCAAAATGGGACATTTACTGCTGTCTTTACAGCATCATTAAATCATGCTGTTTACATTAGAAACTCATTTCAGCATCATGCAGAATCATGGACTATGAACTATAATTAAAAATTAACAAATTTTAATGAATCTTCATCAAAATCATGCAAAATAATCAGTGCATGCTAAAGCACAGCATTTGCGTTCGATCTTATCTATATAATAGATATATTGGGTTATTTATTTATATTCATCGTATGTATAAGAAATATGTGGTGGTCAGCTGTGTCCAGTAGTGACCATGTATCTACCTTACTGAGAAAGGACTCTACAGTGCTGCCCTGAAATAAGGGGTCATATATAGATAACAGTGCAATGTGGTGGTGAATGTGCTGTCTCAACCAAACACAATCATAAGTCTTGATGTCACAACTAACACACTCACTTAGTCAATCATCCGGGCATGTGAACTGTAACAATATATGTCATCTATAATAATAAAATAAGACTATCCTGTTGGAAATAAATAAATATATAAATAAATAAATAAATAAATGAAAAAGCAAAAATTATGGTGCATCTATCAAAGAAATATACTGATAAATTTTCTTTAGATGACATTATCTTATTATGTGCCAACCATTTAAAGGGGCATTTTACCACCTATACAAGCGATGGAAGTTGACTTCATGAACTGAAAGCTAGATTTAGTTTTATGTCTGCTGTAATTCCACTTAGGCAGATGTGCTGGTGAGTTTATGATGACAGAAAGTTGCAGCTTGCAACCAACAGAAAAATTATAATAAAACAAGCTTTTGTGCACATTATGTGGAATTGCTTTTCCCAAAGAAAATAAAATTGAAAGATTTCAAAGAAATTTCACATTATGCATGACAAATGCAGAATACAAAAATGTACACACAAAGTTATCAATTAGAAGCACAACAACATGGCAAAGTGCTTTGTGATTATATATAATTAAGTGCAGTGCTTCAGATTTCTACCTTCATGTGTTCAGTTTACCTGTGAACCACTTTCTTCTTTGATAGAAGACATTTTCTCCCTGAACTCTGCCTTGCCAGTGCAGAAGTATTTGGCCACTATGTCCTCCATTGTTCTCTTGAACCACATACAGTCTAGAAGAAAGTTTTGCGGACTGAGTGTTATTCTGGTTAATTTTACGAAGAATTTTAAAATCAAATTATTTCATATATCTGATTCTATGTTGTAATTAATCTGTATGCCACAGGCACAATAAGAGTGTCATTCTATATCTTACTCACTGTTAAAGATTTTTGGACTCTTACATATTGGTATTAAGACCCGATTTATTTGAAACACATACATCAAAGGAAAGGACATAACTCTTTAAGTATGCTGCGAAATATAAACGTGTGTCCGTTCAAGTGTGTGTGTATGTGTGCATGTGTATGTGTGTGTGTGTGTGTGCATGAGTGTGTGCATGTCCTAACCTTCTTCTGCAGTTATCCTGTCCCCAAACGTCCTGGCGACCTCATGACACCACAGTCTGGCAATGACACGCATCATAGGTGGCGCTCCTCCCACCACATCTTTGCCAGCAGTAGGAGCCCAATTCTGAGATCTCAGCTTGCTTCTGTCCACAGGTTTGTTTAGTGCTGGTAAGCTGATAGTCATTTCTGAAATAATATCAGAATTACAATTATCACTGGCATGATATTAGATATCTGAGAGACTTATGTGGAAGTCTAATTTTACAAATTCACAGGCCTGCCAAACTTAAACAAAATTGATACAGATTAAAATATATTCTGATACAAAATTTGCACAGACTAAAATATATTCAGATAAAAAACTGATTAAACAATTAGATAAATTTTGCCAAGTGCATAACCAATTGCCTCATGCCAGTAATAACTGGTCATAACTGCCAGCCTTACTATTACGTCCCAGCTCAGGTTTGTCTTTCTTTCTCCGTGGCTTTGGCTTCAGTTTTGGTCGCGCCCTTGGCGACATCATCAGGATGCCCTCCATGACACGTGCAATGTCCCGCAGTGTAAAGATGTAGTGAGCATTGGCAGGAGTTGGTCGCAGTCTCTCCTTAACTACATTATACATCTCCAGGAGACCTTGGGTCATGGCCTAGAAAAAAGAAAAATAAATTTATTATATACTTTTGAAAAAAAAGGAACTTTCATTTATCTAACCATAATTTTCATTAGGCATCCTGTGGTCAAATAAACCAGGCTTGTAGGCAGTAATTTCAAAGAAGGGTTTCTTTTTCTGAAAAAAAATGGACATTTATACCCTTTGAGTTAAGAAATAATATAGAATATCAATTACGTTTTGTTTCAAAGTGGGCTCTTTGTATGATACCCCAAACCTCCCTGCCTACAGGCTTGTATACTGCTACTTTACCAGCCAATATGCCAACTGCTTACATTGACTTCGACATAAACTTCTACAGACAGGCACTTACATAAGCAAACTCATGGTGGTGTTCTACAGAGTAGGTGGGGAACTCCTCCAACCATGACTGGATGGTCTTGCCAAACAGAGAATGCATCCCCTCCGCAGTCGGCATAAAAAATGTCATTACAGTGAACAGACGTGTCAGCCTCGAGGACAGAATGTGGCATGATTCTCCGGCACCTGAACCTGAAAGAAACAAGTGTCAAAGTGTCCAGTTTAGGACTGCAATGTGGTTATGATGAAATTCTGATGACAAAATATAGCTTTCTTGGACCACAAAAGTCAGAGTACTTCTACACTCTTGAAGCTGAGAAACATATCTTGTAAGTAATGAAAAATGTTCCATAACTGAGTCTAATATTTAGTGCCAGCTTCCATGGACACCTTACCAGCTACTCCAGGACTCCTGCACGCTGCCACAAAGTCCGTTCCCTCCAGGTCCAGTTTGACATGGCGGTGACGGTCATACAGACTGCGCTGTGTCATGACCTCTCTGAGTACCTCCAGTGATGGCTGTGTGCCTGCAAGGTAGTGGTATACAACTGAGAGATGATGATCACATCAATAAACCATATCAATCAATATGCAATCAATCTATTTAACATGCCTTCAGTGAATCAACAAAAATAAAAACTCAAAACATTACATTTTAAAGAGGACTTTAAAACTTCAAAATGACTACATCATGTTGTCAATGTTCATCATTTACAAAAGTCAAATCCATTTAGTCAAACCGAAGCAATTTTAATTATTTTTACTTTTTAAAACTAAATAGCGATTTAGATTTCCACTTACCTGTGACACAATCACTTTTGGCCATATTCAGGTCATCAATGAAGAACAAGTGGTGTGGTTTGGGGAGAGGCGCGGTACTTGGGTGCGTGCTCAGGACGTCACGTTTATTGATCTCCAGCATGTAGTTGGCCACGGAGTTGTGGAGCTGCTGCGGGACGACACCTTGAGAAATTGGCAGCCGAGAGAATGGGTGCTTTTGCTGGATGATATTCTGAAAGAAATTTTTTTTTTCAATTGTGATCATGACAAATGATGTGATATTGGGACCTGGTGTTTTTGCATATTGATATTCTAAAAGAAATCTTGCTAAAATATTCACTCCTCATAAAATAGCAATATCAACCTGTTCAAATGGCATAAAAAATTAACACGCATTTAATATATGAAATGATCAAATTTCCATGGTTTCTATCACATCAGTAGTTCAACACTGTGGCAAAGCAGGTACCACCACTGACCTGTATGAGAGCAGTTTTCCCCACACCTGGAACGCCAACCAACAGAACAGGGTAGTGAGAACTCAGCAATAAGTCCACCAGGTAGTGGTAGCGCTCCACCTGAAAAATACAGAGAGATCATACATGTAAAGCAAAGAGTGAAACAATATGTCCGCTTTCTGTGAAAATGAAATCCCTTATGCTAACAAAACATTATATGAAAAAGGCCTGGGGGGCACTGGTTCTATTTGAATGCCTGGGAAAGGAAAAGAAGAGCAAAAAGAACAGAAAATTCCAAAATGGCAAACAAAATCAAAATGGAACCCATCTATTCTCAGTTATTTATTTCTTGGAAGGGACAGACACATAACCTGCTGTTGTGTTTTGAGAAGATTTTGAGGTTGGGGAGGTTGAAGGGGGGCAGAGGGAGAAGGGATCCCCCCTGCTAGACCCACCCTAATACACCAACTCACCTCAGGAGTGATGACATAGTGTGCAGGCAAGTTCCTCATCTTCTCCATGGGTCTGTCACTCCACTTTATCATCATACCATGGTGGACCTCCACACAGTAGTCAAACACAGTACCACTGAGAGGAAGACTGATGGGGTAAGTAGCACGATACAGGGTCTCACGACAGAACTTGTTGAATTTACTGATGTGCCTGGGGGAATAATAATAATAATAATAATAATAATAGACACAGCAATAATTTGCATATTTAAAACACCTCATTTCTTTCATAAATTGCATAAAATGTTCATGTTTGTCATCCATTTAGATATTCAGAGAGATATAATTCTTTTTGATATGAACTTTGAATCAATGTTTCATAATTTCAAATTATCTTTCTTAGAAACCAATAATACAATATTGATTCGGGTATTATACATACATTATCTGCTTTCAAATTGTACAGTCTAAGCAAGGAGTTATCACATAAACAATTCAAACCACTGTTTTTTTATGATAATAATAATAACACAACAGAAATATTAAATTTTATATCAATTCTGCATGCAAAATAAAAAAATCCATTCAACTGTAATACAGTTATCATGATAGCTCTTTAAACAAATCTATTCTGTACCTTTCCTGTAGTTGTCCTCCAAATCCCCAAATAAAAGCAAAGGCATACATGCTCTTCACCACATTGGTATAGTTAGGGATACGATCCTCGTAACGTGAACTGCCTGTTAACCTACTGGACCTCATGTTGCTATCTGCTCTGTAGTCTGGGGTCAGTTTGGCTGGGGAGGCGGGAGGGGCATCATCTAAAAAAGGTTATTAAAATTGTATTTACACTTAAATATGAGAATATTAAATAGACATTAACCAAGTAAAGGTCTTATTACAAATATATGTAATCGTAAATAAGAGAATAATGAACAGAAATTAGCCAAGGTCTTATTATATGCTATAGATATGTAATATTTGTATGATGTCCGGTCTTTTTATAATCTTTTTGGTATCAAACAAGAAATGATGTTTTAGTAATCAAGTGATGGTCTGTAAGTGTTATGCAGCAAATGTTTTTGGTTGTAACAGGTGTCAGGTTGGCATCTATTTAGAGAGCCATAATAAACAGAAAAAACTCTAAAAACTTTAGCATGTGCATAAATCTACTGCCACAGAATCATCTACCTGGTTTTTGCTGACCCTCTGCAGCGCTCTCAAAATCAGCCCTCAGGAAGTGGCGATCACAGAGTGCTGAGAGGATCCTGAGCAGTGACATAACTTCCTGTAACCCTGGCACTGATTGAGTATAGATGGCACTAGAGCGGTGCATGTCATTGGTCAAGGAATAGGTACAGTCATTTTCTAGATATCTGATGGTCTGAGGGATGGTAGAACTGAACAGGTCGTCCAGGATCTTCAAACTGGAAAACATCAACATATTCATTATCAGAACAAGCATATTAAGGAAAGTGCTGCAGAAATAAAAAATTTTACAAAAGCTGAGGCACCACCAGACCTGTAGCCAGTAATTTCAAGAACGGTTCTTTATCTAAAAAAACAGACCTTTTACCGTGAAACCTTTTTGTTTCTAGATCAATTTTTACCAAAAGCCGACGTTTTCTAGACAGAAAGGGTGGTTTATTCAAATCCCGAGGTTCATTTGAATCCCACCACCCCCCTGGCTATGTGTCTGACTAGGAACACATCTATAATGCAAATATTTATTCTGAATATAGTCAGAATTTCAGAATATTTGGGCTCAAATTCCAACAAGAATACTGGTATTTTATCATTTATATAATAATTTGCAATATAAGTGTGTGTGTGCAATGTTTCACATTCACGTATTACAGAATTCAATGATAAAAGATTAAGTATAATTTAGCAAAGGAATTATATTAATACACCTTATAACATGTTTCTGTGTCTAATGCATATACCAAGATACATATACAATCATATCAGATACAAAATCAAACATGTATATACATTTGAAAATGAAAACAAGCAAATAAAATAAATTCCAACCCTTCTCTGAAACATATGCCCAGATAAGCCACGGTCATGGAAGTACCACAGAAGTACCAGGACAGAAGTATAATGGTATTAATGTGCACTCAGCTACAAAGAACCAATTACCAACTGTTGAGAACCAATCAAGAGCAGTAAGTTGTTTTTGTAGACAGGCCATTCCCTATCCATTAAAAACACCCCTACAGTCCATTCTCACTGCTCTCCAGGGAACAATAACCTACACTATTGGAACATAACATATCAATTCATTAATTTATATTGCCATAGTGCTAACCAAGGTATTTCCTGGTGCCTCTGTAGTAGACTATAACTGTTGAGGTGGGCCAGTAGTACATTGGCCGCATTCACAGCCAAAGTTGATCCACAGACTAATAGATCCGCGAATAGACAGATATATCTGGCCCACTTAAAACTACCAAGTAATCCCTGCGGTAAATCTATTTAGTGCCTATTACTATTAATGAAATATGAGTCAAGCTTTCAAGTGGATCTGCCATATTTGATCCACAGATGTACTGGTCCACAGATCATCTTGTTCTGAATGTTCCCATAAAATGTGCCCTGGTACAATGGCTGTTAGCAGAATTCATTAATTGAAATGACCATTGCACTGACCAATGTGTTTCCAAGTACTTTTCAAAGTGGGTCAACTGTTTTTCCATAAGAGAATGGGCAAAGAAGGCGACCGGAAATGTTTATTAATTATTCAGATGTCCACTGTGGGTTAATTGATATATTTCCTAGTACCTATTTAATGAGAAAATCTGTTGGGGCTGTTTACATGGGCTGGCCACAGAGGAAGTGAATGGACACAATGGATGGTTTACTTTAGGACATCTTTATGAATATTTTGTGTGGGAGAAGAAAGGTAAAGATGTATCATATTTCTCTATTTTGTTCAATACATTAGGTCTATTAATTTACTCTCTATCATGCCATTAGAGGCATGGGGCCCATTAGTTCCATCAGTTGCTACAGTATTCAAATTTTACTCTTATCATAATCATCAAGTAACAAGTTGAAAACATATACAAATGGCTAGAGATGGTTAAAAAAACACCATCCACCCAAACATGTTTAAGGTCAAACGCCATTCAATTTCAAATGGTTATATCAGATGGGCCAAGAAACATAAAATCACTGACTGTTTGGTTTGTAGTTAAGAAAGGAATCCATTGGCAGGTAGAGAGAAAGATTCAACCACATAAGCTTTTTTTCAACTAACATGTTTGGAGGAAGGAGCTCAACCCATTGTCTTCAATTTTCTCAAAAAAATACTATAATAAATAAATAAATAAATAAATAAATAAATAAATAAATAAATAAATAAATAAATAAATGTAACAGCCACAATGAGAATAATTGTCTCTGAAGTTCTGACAATCTTTATTTTTGGATGCAGATGTAAAAATTAAATTATTATAAATATTGCTGTATATATTGTTAAACATGAGTGGACACAAACTGTTCTAAATCTTCTCGTTAAGCCCACTTCATGGTAAAAGGTCCCAACATTTGGTCAAAATGTAATCAACCACACACAGCCCGTTCAAAACAGAACCAACTTAAACTGCGATCATTTAAGTGGTGTCAACAGATGACCAGAATAATGTTACAAGGAGGTAAAAAGTCTATGGCAAAAGAGATCGGACGGGGGTACCTTTCAGAGCGTTTCATTTACCACTGGGTGGCACTGTGATGTCAGCTGGACTCTTTCCAGTTAAGGTTAAGACAGTTCTGAACGCGCTTCACAAAGTGTGGTCAAAATTATTACAGAAAAGATGCCGCCAAACAGAAAGATAAGCAACATTAATGACCTGCAAACAATGATATGATTTGAGATCAATAAAAACAGCTGCATTTATAGATAACTCATCAGAGCAGTGAAGTGAAGTGTAATCATGTAGAGAGAAGCTGAAGGAGATGAATATTTGACTTTCTGTGGAGCTGCTAAATTTATAGAAGTGGATTACTGAAACAAGTAGGCAGGACACTTGTGTGTTGATTAAAACATGACACATTTACATACACACACATAAGTATACCTTAACTGAACGTGCAAACTAGATCTAGGTATTGGTGCCATGTTCAACCCAAAGCTACGGAGAGTGCAAGGACATGCCAGAAAGAAAAAGTAAGTTTTTTATGCCTTTGAAATTTTACATACATGTAACAACCAATTCATTAGTACCCAATTAATTGACAACATTAATTAATAGAACAGATTTAAAATTAATCAAAACCAGTATGTGTGCAGGAATACCATGATTGGATATATTATGTACATGAACAGGAGTCAGAGAGCATAAAACAGCTTCATTGTATATACTGGCTTATCTCTAGTTTCCTAAGTATGAAGATGACTTTTCACTCACTTGGGAGATATCACTCATCTTTCACAGGTCACTGATGAACACATTTCTTGGCAATTAATATTTGTACATTAAATGCAAAACTTCCAAATTTGTACTGTTAGGAATTTCATATTAAATATTACTTATATAGTACATATAATATCAACTGCACTTGTATTTCCAACCCCTTTTTCAATGTCTACTTTTTCTCCAGCACTCACAGTAATTTCCTAGAATCTAGAGCATCATCCTACTAGTATGCTGACCAGTTAATTGAACAAGTTAATTTGTAACCTTGCAAATTTGTACCCATTAAAACTGCATGCTTTCATGAAAATTTACTGACTTCATTTGTATTGAATACAGGACAAATCTGGAGAGCACTGTAAATAAGTATCTCTGTAAACCAATGCGTTTGTTCCTTAAGAGTGAATGATCAAAAATTTTACTGGCAAATTTTTTTTGCCATATTTCAACAACAATATAATAGTTATAGTGTGACAGTATTTACTCCTTTTTTTGAAAAAAATATTTTTAGTTTTTTCTAGCTACAGAATGTCCCTGTTCAAGATAAAATGTTACATCTGCAAGGCAACAACTATTCATCTTAGACATCTAGGCAATTCTCCTTCACTTTTCTTCTTATCAATTTCTTGAACCTGGAAGCCTGAATTCTGATTTTGAGTTTTCCTTTCATTTAAATTGGAATTGGAAATGTCACTCCTAAGGATCCACATCAGTAATTACAACAGGAATCAATATCAAAAGTGAGGAGAAGTTCCGTCTGGTATTGCTTCCAGGACACCAACAAAAAGAGTTATTGAACACAATGGTGCCAATTAATCATGAAATCAGAGCTGATAGTTGGCTCTTTTTTTTCAATCACCACTAGCAATTATATGTAAGTAAGTGTAATGTGACCTAAGTGTACAGTAGTACTCTGCCACTATTTAACCAGTGGACAATCATGTCCGGAAATCATTTCTTAAGTTTTTGCCAATAAGCCATAATAGGTCAATCTATGTCCTAATAAACCAGAAGTCAGTTAGCTTGGTTCAGAAAGAAGGCATTTGGAACACATAAATGGAAAGCAAAAGAAACAGTTTCCAGACAGATATTTATAGTACCAACCACTGACTAAGCCTGCATCTAAATTTAACATATGCATTTTGTGAATTGTTCTGTTAGATCTTTTATTTCATTTTTGCCTTAAAAGCTATAATAACTACACATAATTCCAATAAATGGCATATTTCCAACCCTGTACAGTACTAACTACATCACTTAAATACTGTTACACTGTAATGTGTTGATTAGGCTACTGCATTAAATGACGTAAGATAATATCCTTTCAGCTTTCCAACATCCCTTGCCAATATTCTGATGATTATATTTGGGCTACATTTTGGCTTGTTGTATCAAAATGATATAATTTATCATGTATATCATCTACATTAGAGCACTTCCAGAACTGCATTAGAGGGGTACCTCAACATGTTTTCTACAACATAATTATCTATAACAAGTCACTCTATCATGGAGGACTCCTTATTAACACTGTAGTCATATCACAGCACCCTGGGTATCATAGCACAGACTGTGACAACACATGAACTCTGTTCTCTACTGTGTGGTAACACTGTAGTCATATCACAGCACCCTGGGTATCACAGCACAGACTGTGACAACACATGAACTCTGTTCTCTACTGTGTGGTAACACTGTAGTCATATCACAGCACCCTGGGTATCACAGCACAGACTGTGACAACACATGAACTCTGTTCTCTACTGTGTGGTAACACTGTAGTCATATCACAGCACCCTGGGTATCACAGCACAGACTGTGACAACACATGAACTCTGTTCTCTACTGTGTGGTAACACTGTAGTCATATCACAGCACCCTGGGTATCACAGCACAGACTGTGACAACACATGAACTCTGTTCTCTACTCAGAAACTATGGCATGGTGTGTGTGTGTGTGTGTGTGTGTGTGTGTGTGTGGTGTATTAGGTGAGTGTCTAACATTT